CCTGCCTCTCCCCGGCCATGCTGCCTCTCCCCTCGCCTCCCCTTTCCCTCCGGGCTGGGGCTTTCGGGGTGCGGAGCCGCCGGACCGTGAACCGGGGAGTCAAGGCCACCGGCGAGCTGCTTAGCTTCCCGGTTAGCTTTGTCCTCCCCGCCGGCAGCTCACCTGCAGCTTGGGGTGTGATGAAGTTTCCGCTCCTCAGTGGTTAAGGATCGTTTTTTCCACTTGTAAGGAACTGGTCGTTTATCCGCTGCGTGCAGCCATTTAGCACGTGAAAAGGAGCTGGCCCGTAAACGGGAAGTTGTCACCTGTTTCCTGATACTCAGTTCTTTAACTAGCACTCGTTCTTGTAAGAGGTAGTACAACTTTAGAACTTCAGTTCATAGAGCTACCCGAAACAAAATATCCTGCAGCGGGTAAATAAGGAGTGAGTACGTAAAACGTGTGTCTTTAAATATACATCTGTAAGAGTCTCGCATCTGGTAAACAAGTCTAGACTGTGACTTGGCTTTTGTATATAAGACAAACTCAGCTATTCGTGAGTTTCAGATCTTCTGAATTTTTCTGTTTTAGGGCCTTGATAAAGCAAATATGTTTCCCCTCCTACAACGATGCTGCTTCCACACACCTTTCAAAGTAAGTTTCTGAAGCCTTCTTTGCTGTCTGTATTTCTTAAAAAGTATGACTGGAGCATTGAAAAAAAAGTGACTTACAAGTTGCAGTAGCCACATGTTTATCACTCAGCTTTTTTTGAGAGAATTCATAGTTTCTACAGCAGCTTTTAGCCAAAGCTGACATATTTCTTTTGTAAAATAAAATTTTATTGTCTAAAGGTCTTTTTTCCTCTCTCTTTTTGGTAGAGCGGTGAGGGGAGAGTAGCTAGTTTCTGCAGTGACCTTGTCCTACCTCTGTATAATCACTTTATATTCTACTCTGAAAAGGACTGCTATCACCTTACTTAAAAATGCCTAAAGAATGCATGCATGGGTAGATGGGTAGGTGGATACACAAACCTTTTGTAGTAAGGTTTGCTTACTCACTGTGAAGAGCCTAGTTGCTCTTCATCAGCTAGCTTGTGAAAGCTGTATCAGTTAGCTTAATTAGTTAAGTTAAAAACACCTGAAAACCGAGAGAAAGGGTAGCTGTGATATGACCTGACTTGGAAAACTACTTGGTACAGTATTTCATAGGTAGTTTAGGTAACCGTAGATCCATAAGCCTACATTGTAAGGTGTTCAGAACAGGTTTTATAATTGCAGCTCCGGAAGTTAACCGGTCCCAGACTGCTACTGTATGGAAAGAATAAGACAACTTGCTCTTCTCTTGGCCTCCGTCTGCAGAGAGATGTGTATCTTCTCGCAAGATCTCCAAGCCTCAACCCAGCATCAGTATGTGCAATCAAGCTCCAGGCTTTTCACACCTCTCCCCCCTTCTTCAAGAAGAAAACCCCCAAAGAATCTGAGACCAAACACTCGGGCATATTGGAACAAAGCATGAAATCACTAAAGGATTCTCCAAAGCCAGCCCTTTACTTAAGCCTCGCAGGGCTAATTCCATTTGTTTCTGTGCCACTGTCAATGGCCATCCAAGGGACCTACTACCCAGAGCTGGCGTTTGCTCAGGTTACATTTGGTGCCGTAACAGTCTCTTTCCTAGGAGGAATGAGGTGGGGGTTTGCTCTCCCAGAAAACAGCCCGGCCAAACCAGACTGGCTGAACCTGGCTAACAGTACAATTCCTCTTCTACTTGCCTGGCAAGCCTTACTTTTTAAAGATATCACTCATGGTGCAGTAATGCTAGTAATGGCCTTAGGGATAGCACTACATTATGACATTTCCCTTCTTCCTCCTTATCCTAGGTGGTTTAAAGTACTGAGGGTAGCGGGAACAGTGGTGATGGTATTATCACTATTAGCTACTGCAGCGTTGAAGACTATTTCAGAGAAGCAGCTAAGTAACAACAGAAATAAATGGCAGAACACAAAATAATAAATCAATAGCAAAAAGCTATTTATCTGCCAATAAGGTATTTGTATTAAGGTCAAGGGGAAATAAAGACTCATTTGTGCTTATAGGTCGTAAGATGGCAGTGATCAAGATGCTTATTCTCAAAGTAAACAACTTAGCAAGTTTAATAGGGAAGGATTGTAAATACCGATGACTTCCAAGCATCACTCTTGAGTGAGATGCTACTGTCATATGAATTTAAAATGGAGATTCAAATGACATGGGTATGAATTACTCTATGCTGAATTATTAAAGTATCTGGTTTAAGTATAGTGCGTGATACTGTTCTGTGGTGGGGAGAACAACCCTGTAGTCATAAACTGTAACAAGGCAAGAGCAGTTCTTCTGGTTTAGTGTTTAAAGAAGCAGCAGAGAATTACGTAGAAGTACATACATGTTCGATTCCTATGTTGTGGAAATGCAAAAAAACCATAAAACTCTTCTCTGTCTTATTTCAACTGAGAAGATGCTGAGAATGCTATGTAATTAAGTGCTAGTCAGGTGAGAATGGATAGGCAAGGTTTGTTTGCAGTGGCAAACCAAGGTCAGCACTCACCTGAAATACGTCATCCAGCTGCTGCGATGGAGTGGGGAAAGCTAGAAGGGAAAGCTTTGTATCCTTGACAAGGTGCCATAAGAGACAGAAGGTTAGCTTCCTACTCAGGCTTACTTGAATAAAAAATACCTGGACCATCTGTTCCTAGGTTTTGTCTGGACTTAGGGCTGCCTAGCCAAGGAAGCTGCATGCAACATAGCCATAAAGTTCTGTCATACTCCTAAATTAAAGTACTATCAAATGATGATATGACGCATGGACTTGATTGCTGGCAGTATGGGATAATGGGATTGAAGGTAGTTTGTGTTTTCTCCCTCCTCAAAACTGGATTTATTTGAGCACCTGGGGCAGGTATAAATGGACTTGTAGCCTGCAAACCCTCCATGATGGGCCAGTTATTGAAAACACTGCAGGAACATAGGCTCTTTGTACTTAAGTCTCCCTAACACATCATTTAGGGCAAGAAGATACAACATAAGCCACATAGTTTGTTTTGTAGCCTCAGCTACCTCAAGAAACCTACAAAATTGTATGTGTAGGCTTTTTGTGTTAAGTATTCTTTAAGTACAGTATAAGATGCAAGAAGAAAGCTGAAAAGTGACATCCACACACATTCTTAGGACCAATTTAGATAATCCTTATAGTTCTCTTAAAGTGCTGTTCTTCACTTTAAGAATAAAGCACATACTGTCACTTAAAATTTGTTGTCTGTTCATTCTGCAAAGAATAGACATTTAAGAAACCTGCCTGTCCTGAAGGTAGAGCCATCTTCTTGTACATGAGCCTCTAATTTTCCTAACCTGTTAACCTTTACATGTTAACAGCATCAAATTTCTGAAAGAATGATGTATTTCTGTGCTCTCTGAATATAAAGGAAGTAAAGTTTAGTTTGTAAATGAAAACAGTTATTTTATTCTTTCTTACTTAGACATGGTGTTTTTTAAGATGGGTCCAGAGCAGAGTACTGCTTTTGGCTGGGAAAGAGGTGCTGAGTATCAGAGACCATGATCAAACAACTTCAAAGTTTCATTCAAACATCATAAAATCAACCATAAAAACTGGAGAAGGTAACTTCATACAACAGCAGACTCCCTCAAGCTCCACTAAACAGAAAGTTTACAGGTAGGGGTCAGAAGTGAACTTCTAGTTCCCAAACTAATAAAATACAGCTAAATACAGTTTCTCAAATGGTTCACAAGGGATCCTGAAATGTAAAGAAGAAAGCCTAAAAAATGTTACCTATCATTTGATCCCAGAGAGGGCTGCACAGAGCTGGCAAGGCAGCCAGACTTCCAAGAAATCCAAGTGATTTTACACTAAGAACTACATGAGTATTTTGCTACAGCAGTGTGTTACTTGCACCTTTCAAACAGCCAACATTTATAACTAATCTTTCCTAGTGTCCTACTGGGAAATAGGATTTCCAGTAAAGAAAAAAAAAAAAAAAAGTGGCAGTGATACAACTCATTATGATAGGAAAGCAACCTTCAAGAGCATTCCACAGTCAGTTCTAAAAATGCATTTTATTATGAAAAACTGTTTAAAACAAGCTTATACTTGGGGAGGGGGGGAAGAACAGACATTAGTTCACACACATAAGAAATCCTTCTGAAGTAAAAGCACACAAGATTATAGAATGATCAGAGAAACAAATGTTCCATCGTCTAGCATGTTTTAGCTTGGCAATCTCCCAGCCCTATGTTAGAATGTAAGACCTAGATTCTTAAGGTACCTGCAACACTCACCTTGGAGGCTTTTATTCATGTATTAATTTGCTAATTTTACACAGGGGATATTCACCTAGACAGCATGAATGCTCCTTTGTCTACACAGTGCAGGCTTCCTGTTTTGTGACATTCCAGTTGTGGTTTTGTGTTCCAGAATAACACTGTCTATCAAAGTTCAAGCAGCCTTACTTCAGACTCCATGCAAATCATCCACAGCTGTGCAGAAAATGCAATCATATTGTGCAAAAAGCAACTTCAAGTATGTTAATTAAGTGAATCTAGAAATAACACCAAACTGCTAGTAGTATTGTTCTACTAAGTATCCAAGCTAAATACAAACTCCTTAAGACAAAACACACTAATAGCATCACTTTAACGCTGAGTGCAGCTAATTCTATCACAAAACACTCCATTCACTCAAATTTGGAAGAGGCGGGATACAACGTGTAGCAAGGATGAACGTGTGTACCTTGTAGAATAGCATGTATTCCAATGCCAAGTCTCAGCATGTGTCACCCAGGGTAAAACACATTTAACTAAGGGGAAAAAAAAAAACCCAAAAAGGCGCAAAAGGCTTTCACTATAATTTTATACTAAGAGCAGTCCTAACCAGAACAGCTAATCTAATGAATAGCATTTCCATTTAAAATTCATCAGGGCTTACACAAAAGGGAGCTCTACTGTCATCACTGAGAAGAAAAGCCTATGCTGAAATGGAATTACATTATTAGAACTGTGAGAATAACCTTCCAGAACAGGAAATTCCCAGCCACTTACCATCCAAGTTAGTGGGGTGGCCAGAAAGTAAACATCCAATTCATATTTAATGCCTGTCATGTCCAGCAGCAGCAAAGAGGCTCAAATGCATCAAGGTCGTAAGTAGAGGTACCAAGTCTTCCCCATCTGTTATCTTCTCTTCCTTGTTTTCTACCAGAAAACTAATGCTAACCAAGTAGCCCATCTGCTCTTATCTATGGATAACTCCTAGCTGTCTATAGTAGCCTCCTTCCAGATCGTAAGGCCAGCTAAAGATGCTAGCTTTGGTGCACCTTAGAGAGTTAACAACCTGAATAATGTATCTAGTGTGATGGAATGATTTCTTCAGATTTTTACAGGGCAAATTCGCCATTTATTTCAGAGAGCTTAATCCAGTCATAAGAGGCATTCCTACTCTTTAACAGAATACTTCCTGAGACAGACATAGGATAAGCCAATTTACTTTGAAGGGCAAGGGTTTTAATATTTCCTTTTGCTCAGGAAAAGCCCTCTGATGTAATTCTCCACTGTCTCACCTGAAGCTCCTGTGTTAGAAGAGGTTTCTGACCAACAAAACCAGAAATCTGGGGAGACAGATTTACTCGTTCCTTGAATGAGTTTTCTTCTTTGTGTTTTTACAGCACAGCTACACCTCCTTCGCAGCGGCTGGTGATCATGTTGGCAATTTCAGTCCAACTGTCCACATGAGGGTTATAAACTTCAACAGAGTCAGAGGTTACCGGAGCAGCAAAATCATGACTGGGAGCTCGGCCTCCTGAGGCATAAAGAAATCCATTCACAGTCACAACACAGACACCAGCTCTTGGTGTCTTCATTGATGCAACTTCAACCCACTTTTCCTAATGAGAAGGAGAAAAGAGTGAACAAGTAGTTTTAGGTAAGCCCCAATTCTGACAAAAGTAACTTTTAAAGCTTGAAGACTGAAACATATACAAAAGACACTACAGGTACACTTCACAGGCTCAAATAAGATACGTGTACAGTTATCAAGACTGGAATGACACCACTTTCACAAGTGGTCAAAATCATGCTAGTTACAAAAGAATGGATCACATACTGTCTGTACACAACACCCCTCCCTTTCTTCAGTCACTGCAAGATGCAGCCTGTCTCCAAAATAGAGAATGGCACACAGTTTGAAGTGGGAAATAAGGAAAACTAGATTCAAGTCCAAAAGTGAAACAGAATGGCACATGGGATTATGTTCTGCTTTTAACAGTAGCTACTGTTCCAAAGAGCATCACAGAAACATGAGCAATAATAGCCAGGAATAATTTCTTAACCTTATTCAAAAGCTTAAGTATTCAAAGTGATTTTTCTAGTCATGCTGAAACACCACTACATTTTGATGCAGAAGATGCTCAACTTTTGCAAGAAAGGGCAACTCTTACTTTTTCAGGGATTTTTTTTTCCTCTCTCATCAGATTATTGCCCATTCTATTGCAGAGGGGGAATCTATCCCCCCATCTTAACCCTAACAAGTATTTACCAAACTACAGTATATCTATGCATCATCAGTATCAGTTAGCTTTCAGTTTCCCAAAAGCATGGATACAATCTTCATAAACTCTCCACTAAGTCAGATAGCAAGATTCTACAGACTGCTTAGGACAGATGGACCCTGAGCTCACCGAAGCTTTGTTTCACTCAGATCCCAGCCAGTCGTGAAAAGGAAATGGAATTTCCAACTTTTTTCTTTTTAAAGAAGGAAGCAGGCTACCTCTATAGCATCTTTCATAAATGTAGATTGCATCAACTTTGTGTCAGAAAGGGGCTCTACCATACCTCTTCAAAGGAGTATCTTTCTACAGTAGCAAGTGCATCCTGAGATTCATTCCAGCCTCCCACAGCATAGATACAATCGTTGAGAGCAGCCACACCAAGATACGCTCTTCGGGTGCCCATTGGAGCGAGCTCAGACCAACGTTTAGACATTGGGTCATAGACTTCAACAGAACGTAGTTCTACTCCTTCATTGCTGATACCACCAACAACATAAATCAAACCTGTAGAAACAGAGTTTTTCCTCTATAATGTTTCATAATACAAAGGTTTGAAAGACAGAAAATGTTTGTCACAATACAAGTTTCAGCCTGACATTAAGGTGGTTTAAGAATGCCAGATAAAAGTCCTCCATTTGTCCAGTAGTAGCATACAAAAAGCTTTCAAATGAGTTACCTGAGGCTCAAGCACTAGAAGCTCTAACGAAAGCAATAATTAATTTAGTGCACGGGAGAGAATTCAGAAGGCTGCAACTGCTGACCAGTCCTGGATCAAATACTTAATACGTACATTTATAGATCAAGTCTTTAGACATATCTGTCTTTAAATAACCTGTGGCAACTCTTCAGATTGTCACAAAGACACACACAAACCCAAATATGGGACGTAAATAAAAGCAGTATCAGGAAGGACAATCAACTGTTAAAGACTAGCTGGATAACCATACTGGCAGCCACATAAAAACTGTTTTCATGAGATAAAAGGCAGAAAGACAGAGAGAACTTTATAGTCTTTGAGTTCTGTAGAACTAAAAATAAGGTACTAGAAGGACAAAAAAGTGATGCACAAGCTTGTGCAACTGATAGCACAGTGCAAGATAAGGGTAAAAATTCATGACTGAAACATAAAGCTTCAAAATCCCATGGCCCGTGGAACTGTTTATGGATACAAACTTAACAATATTCACCTTGCATTTCACAACACCCAAAGCAGTAACGGGGCACAGCCATGCTTCCCACCACATCCCAACTATTTTCTTCAGGATCAAATCTTTCAATTGTATTGCCAATCTCTGCTCCAACCCAACCTCCTGCAAATAATAGCAAACACAGGAAAGAATTTAATGACATGAAGCTGTGCGTTAGCTGCATTTTTAGACATATGGTAGACTGTTTTAGGACAGACAAATTCCAAAACCAGCATGCAATCTACAACAGAAATAAGTTATAACTGAACAATAACTAATCCACAAAGATTTGGTATGCTAATGCTCACATAAACAGCTGTTTTTCAAAACTTAAGTTTGCAAATTTGCAACACCCAGATGTAATATTTAAGATCAAATCAATTTACAAGTTCCATGAATTAACAACTTTGAAATTAACTTACCCAAAGCATAGATAGCACCATAGCATGTGCACACTCCCAGTCCACAACGGGGATGGTTCATGGAAGCCACAGTGGTCCACTGCTTAGTAACAGGATCATAACATTCAGTACAGTCAAAAATCATGGAGTCCTTCTCACCTGCATAATATGAGCAAGAAGAGAGACAGGGGAAACTCAGTGTTCTGCACTGCAGATATAGAAGCATTCTTCAACTCCTTCCAAGACAGACAACATTTGAACACAAGATCTTTTTTCCAGCTAGCCAAACAGCCAAAGTAGCAAAAGCATCACTGTCGTGGTTTAGCCGAAACCAGGACAATCACACCTAGAACTGAATCATCACTAGGAACGGCTTTCATCAACAGTTCTCTGAAACTTTAGCGAAAACATCAGAGGGTGAACAACCACAGTGCTACACACTTTTTACTCCTCAGCACAACTGACAGGGTTTTCAAGACCACAGAACACGTTCTGCGGTGACAAAAACAGTATACATATGCTTTCTTCAATGATGGTCTGCTAGAGCTACTCATCACATCCTTGTGCAAACATACGTAACAAGCTTTTCCAGCTGGGCAGACCACAAGTGGTCTGTCCTGGTCTGTCCTGTACTACTGCCTTTTATGCTATGGGCTTCTGCTAGACTACAAGTGAGAAAAGAAATGTTATTAGTGGTGGTACACAAAGTCCGCAGAATATCCAGCATCTCTTAGTGTATCTGCACATGTCTGTATGCTTACCTGTGAGTTGCTATACCATGAGGGGAAAGCAGCTTAGTAAAAAATGGCCAACACTGGAGCCCAAACGGGCATTCACAGAGTAGTGATGGTAGAGAACCAAGGAACCACAATTCAGTTGTTATTATATCTAAAAGTTGTATTAGCTACTGTTAGGTTCCTCAGAACCACTTACAGGAAGAATAATTTTAAAAATCTCCATCCATGAGTTCTCTAGTATCCATGTAACAAAGAAAGCATATTTAAGCTGTTTACCTCCAATGGCATAGACCACTCCTCCCACCACAGCCACACCCAGCCCACTCCGGGCCTGGTGGAGAGAGGACACTGTGGTCCAGTAGTGGCTGAATGTGTCAAATCGCTCCACACAGCTGAGGGCTCTACTGTCACTCCAGCGACCTCCTTGCAGTCGGGTGTACCCACCTAAAAAGTAAGTAGAAAGATCATGGCTGAGTAACAGCTTCCTACTCATCCCCATGCTCCTATACCTAAACCATAGGAAAAATTACAGTAACAGCCATTAGCCACTTTTAGAAGGAATGGGACTTTTCCAAGTAGCACTGTTTCTCCAGCGCACAAGGAAGAATGGTTACCTTGAAGGTCACATAACTTGTGCCTGAGCTAACTACTTCGCCACAACACTACAAACATTACTGTTCGTGTTCTCAGTAAAATGCAGAGACCAGCCAACAGCCTTTGCTATCTTAAGTCACTGTTACTTCCCACAGGGTGAAACAAGAGCCTTCCCTTCCGATAAAAAGCTCCAGCTTTGCTGAAAGCTTGCAATTTCAAGTATTCCATCACATGAACCAAAGTATTCTGGACAGAGAAAACTTTAACCTTCAGAAGAACAAGAAGTGCAGTGAATTTGCATACACCGTTCCAGCAGTGAACCACGGGCAAATCCTCCGCTGATTTGTAGCTTTCCACCCAAGGCAAATAATTTCTAGAAGACAAATCTAGGCTTTGAATGCCATGTCATAATGACATGAAATGTGAACGCTACCCTTCTGTGCAATTCTAAGCAGAAAGCAGCTAACATAGTAACTCAGGCAGATGAAATATTTTGCTATTTTTATATCTTTTGATTAAAAAAAACATCCAGTATCTCTTTCGGTACTGTAATACGAGATACTACTTCATCATTTGTTTTACAAGGTTCAAACAGCCACATTCTAACCTACTGCATAAAGGTACTTCCTGGCTTTCCTCCGGGGACGACCTTTAGAAGCTTGCAGAAAACTGCTGACCTTGTTCTCTTTGGGAGATTTACAGACTTCACAATATTCTTTCAACAGAGTTTGCAGGGCCACCCGAAGGCTGAAATCTGGAATGCCTTGAGGGAAAAAGCAGATGAGAAAAGGCATAATGAAAAATGTTGTAGAAAGTTACTAGCTTCTCCTAAACCAGCAGACAAATCAAGATTGCCTAGTTTTATACGACTTTTTCAAAAGCATGTTTTTAAAGTAAGCTGTGCTCATTTGTTAAAAAAGTAGAATTTGTTCGGATAGAGTAAATCTTTTCAACCATCATGTTATTAATTTTAAAAAGTCCATCAAAATCCAGTAACTCTGAATGACACATGGTTTGCTCAAATCCAAACCTGATGTTGTTTCTTCCCTTCTTTCACTTACTTTCTATGTATTTTAGTAGCCTTTGTGCTGGTAGCAGAGGGAACCGAACGGGCTCCAGTACTTCTACGACGTATTTCTTTCTTTTCCCCACATCCTTCAAAATCCATTGCATCGCCGCTATGAAAACCTGGTACTCGTCCTCGATGCTTAGGTCCTCGCTTCGCAAGATCTTAACCAGCTGCTCTTTTGTCAGCGCCAGGAACTCCTCCCCGCTCTGCACCTCCAGGAAGTGCACATGGATGTAGCTCTCGGTGAACTCCATCAAGTCGTGACAGGCGATCTGCTCGGAGAACTGGAAGAGGCCGATGCAGTTCAGCGGGTCGATCTGCCCCTTCAGGAACTCGCAGCAGAGCTCCACCACCTCGGTGAGCTGCAGCATGTCGGCGGCGACGATCAGCTCCTGAACGTTGTGCTCCCCGATGTTCGCCACCCCTGCGGGCACGCACAGGACAGCGGGGCTCCGCTCGAGGCCGCGGCCA